ATAATTTGTGTATTTTAGTCAGTTGTTTTCAGAGTTGTCCTGTCTGTCCTGTTGCACTATGAATTCAAAACTACATGGCTACATACAACTAGATGTCATTGTGCGGCCCTTCAAATTATTAACTGGTTATAAAATTCCACTGAAATGTCAGAAAATAATGAAACACTCTTCCAAGTGGGCCTCTTCAAATCACTTCAAATCAACAACAATTCAATCTGGGGTTTTTTTCATGAAAAATAAATAAACTGAATTGTGGCGGATTCATTTTATTAGTAACTCAACTCAGTGTTCCAGCACTAAAAGCATTTAGTAATTAATGAAGAAAGACATCTGCTTTGTTAGCAGGACTGTTTTCATTTCTTTGTTTACAGGATAACATATCTGACTGAGTGTGTGTGGCATACGTTTCTGTGGACTGTTGCAGCTGTACGTTTGAAATCAACAGCTCTAATCTTTTCATTGTCCAAAATAACATGTGACAATGGCAATAAAACTGATTTCCCAATTACATTCTTAAGGCAAATGTATATTGTGGCCATCACTCCGGGGCCTTCCCACTTAAACGCACTTATAATTTGTTGCTGCATTGCATTATTCCTGCCTCATAACCAGATCTCAGCTGAGTGAGCAATGTGTCAATGATAATTACAGTTATTAATTAATACACCACAATAGAGGCACGTGTATTTTCACTATTAATAAATTCCAAGTCATCAGGTTGTGATTTAATTATGAATTATGTAAATGGTTGCCATGGACCATTTAGATCTATGCATTTTATTAGCTAAATGGAAGAGCAGAATCACAGTGCTAAGGATGGACTGGATTGTCTCAAGAGGGCGCTTTTCTCACAGTGTGTTGCACTGACCAAAGCGCTTTACAGGAGATCATACACCATTCACCCATTCACACACTGATGACGACAGGCTGCCACCGGGAGCAATTCGGGGTTCAGTGTCTTGCTCAGGGACACTTAGGCATGCGGGGAGACTGGGAGTCAAACCACCAACTTGCTGGTTAGGAGACGACTGCCCTACCTTGTGAGCCACAGCCACCCCAAAGGGTGTACACATTTGAGTGATAACAGGACAAGTACAAGAGTATGTAGTGAGTTGACCACAACATGTAGGCCCTCTGCCAATAAAATACAAATCACACTGATGATTAAGTGACTAAAAGGGTGTGCTTCAGTGATTTGTTTTTAATCCTGAACAACAACAGAGGTCTCTGGCACAGATGAATAAGATAATCCAGGACTAACACACTGACAGACATTCATTGTCAGTTTTAGTCTCTGTATGGAGAGTGTAGAAAATTATGTTAGTATAGAAAATGACTGTCCTTTAAGCTGTCACTTATTTCACTGATTACTTCCTTTGATATATAATATGTCAATACACATTCCCAGACTCCATAGTCTTCAAATGTCTGATTTTGTTTGATCAAAAGTCCAAAACCCAAAAGAATTTACTTCATTATCACAGAGGGCTAAGAAAATTAAATAAATAAATAAATAAAATCACACTTAGAAGGGACAAATATGCTTTTGCCACTTTTGCTTAAAAATAGGATATTGATTATTTTTCTGTTGCTAGATTATCCATTGTCTAATTGGTTCAGCTCTACTCTGAGCACCTACCTACATCACTAATTTGTTCAATAATTCAATAAGCCTGGTGTACACTTAGCTCACTGCTGGCTGATTTCCCTGGCTGGACGAGCAATAGACCAATCAGAATTTTGCAGGCAGAATTAACGAGGGTCTTCCTGCGCCAGACCCAGAAAAACAGTAACATAAAAATAGCCACGAACATGGCGTTAGTCTGATTCTCAGGCTAATTCTTTGCTATTTTGGACATTCTGAATAACTTGTCTGACATGTTGTTGTGGAGCGAGGACAAAAGTATGATAGGAAGACTGGTTGGCTAATGCTGTAGATATGGACATTTGTTTTGATTATTTTGTAGTGAAATGTATAACAGAGTATAGATATCTACATCTTTTTTTACCACTGTTCTTCTTGTCAAGTTGATGTAGTGCTAGGAACAAGGAATATATTTGGCTTGAAGAGGGCTGTCAAATCAAACTGTCAGGCAGCACTTTTTGATGGAGTAGTATCTCTCGCTCATCCGTCAGTCAAAGAGAAAGACTGCTGCCAAAGTCAAATTTGAAAGTTGAGAGTGGCAGACTTACGTGACATTACATTGTTTGGGAGAGCTGAGAAATCTGCAGAGTTCAGCTCTCATTTAAAATTTACTGGGTGTGTTTGCTAAGTAATGAAGTGTAGCAGCAAGTCATGTGGATAATAGTAGGCCACTCGATTCTTAAAAACTGCTCTGAAAAGCTCATGGTTTCCTGTGACAGAGTATTGCCTCATCACATACACACAAAGAAGTCCTACACATTTCACAGCATTGGCAGGGGACATCATAAAACTCTTCTTCTCATAGACAGCAGACTCGAGTCAGACCGCCCTATAAAATTTAATCATCACAACAGTGCCAGACATTGTTCTGGCATATCAGAAAATTTCCCGACCCGGGGAGCGTGTCTCTCTGCTGGACTGTTATGGTGTTTACTCACACAAGAGACTTACCCCTGAGGCAAGCTCCACTCTTCTGCAGCCCGGCTGTAAGCGTTCCAGCCCCCTGGAGAAATACTCTGTCCTCCCCTGCTGTCTGGACTTTGTCAGAAGGCAGCCATGTCAGGCCAGCAGCCAGGGATCCTTGGGAACAGTGAGCAAAGACAGCGTCAGATAGCAAGTTACATATTAGGCAGAACAGGTACACCATCGTTGATGTTCATTAGACACTTCCTTCTCCGTATTCTATTAATAACTACACTGAAGGTAAGAAAGTAAAAAAAAAAAAGAAGAGAAACTACTGATGTTATTGTTTTACATGCACTGGAGGACAGAAACCCTTAATTTTATAATGCCTTGAAACGTATTATTTTAGGATTAGGGTGAAATTAACATGAAATAAAATTAAAACGTGCAGACAAATTACAGGTTTAAAAACTGCTGAGATCTCACTTGTAACTTGAGTAAAATGACCAATCACTGTGCGAATTAAGGACAATTTCATGTATTAATTTAAGAGATCACACAATTAAGCACTTTTATTTAGGGGTGGCTGTAAATTTGGAGATTAAAGCGTTTTATTAAGAGCTTTTGTCTGCTAGTCACTGTGCTTTGTCATTTCAGGTGTCTCAAAGTGTGATTTTAAGCTCAAACCTGAAATAAAGGTTAAAAAAAAAACAAGAGGGAAAACTGTGTTTTATGGACGTGAAGACTTTTTCTCAACTTTAAAATGTAAAAATCTGCACTTGCAGTAGTTTTTCCCCACAAATAATGAGCGACATGTAATACATAGCAATTATGAGAATAAGACATTAATGAAAGCTGTGGTTATTAACAACTCTCAGTGGTAGACTACAGAATAAAAGCTTATTTGGAACAATTTTAACATATACCCTGCTTTCAGCATAATGGCACAGAATGACACAATAAAAACACTACAGTATGGCACAATGAAAAAAATATGCAACGTGTATTTTAGGTGCACTGTGCTCTCCTTGGTTGATTGAACAAAGCTTTGTCTATAGTCAGTTATTTAGAGCACTTATCTCTGTAGTTAATAATGTGATCTGTCTGAGTTTCACACATATAATCAAGCAACAGCCCATATGTGGCATCAATCACAGACACAAGAACACTGGGATCAAAGCAGAAACACTGTTTTTAATCACACAGTCCACACGTGGATGCACTGAATGACTGAACCAAACAACAACAACAAAATGGGCACAAAATCATGGTTTAATGTTTACTTTTATCTAAAAAAAAAATCAACTTAAGATACCAAAAATTGTTCTCAAATTATTTACAGCAAAATCAGAAATGTCTAGCATCAGTATAGGAATTTCATTGCCATGACAACACTGCCCCTCTGTGTATGAATGTCTATATTACATGTTTTCATCTTAATCTTTTTATTATGCATTAGTTTTTATTTCATCCAGGAAAAACATAACTATACGCCTATTTAAAAAAAATAGCCAAATTCTGGTCATTAATTAAACTGACATGAATACATGTTGTAATTAAGACGTTTGTTTGGTAATGTATCATTTTATTAAAATAGTGACAATTCCGTTTGTGTTTAGGCGCCATCTAGTGGTCTGAAGCATCAACTGATTGCACAGATTCTTGCTTCGATGTGTAGGACCTACTTTGGTCGTATAAGTAAGCTGTGAGCCACAGTATAACTCACTGAATAGGAGGCCTGCCCTTTCTTCCTCACTATGCTACGCATTTAAGAATTTCACTTAAGGGATAAAAATGTTCTGTCAGACTGATTCAATTTCTATTTGCTCCATCACTCATTACATTCTTGATCTTGGACATATTTTTCCTCATACAACTCTACATTCAGCTCGCATCCACCGCTCTTAGGTATGTCCTGTATCATACCATATTATTCCACTATTCAATTCCATCGCCTCCTAATATCTCCCAAAAAAGGGACATGCACTTGAACGCAGCAGTGACTCCTTACAGTGGGCGTTTGTTTTACAGTCCTATCATAACAGATGCAGCGAGTCATATGACTGTCACTATAGGTACTTTACATAACGAGCCATATTAAACAACAGCTGTCACACCTAGCAGATTATCCTGTTAAAAGGAATTTCTGGGTAAGTTGTTTTTCATCTACAGGTTTGCAGCACATGCGGGTTTCAGCTCACTGTTCAGTTCTCAGCAGTTTGTGTTTTTTTTTACTGGGAAAACAACCTAGCTCACTGGGGTAACCATGTACATACTAAATGTTTTGAAAACGCCTATGCATGTGATTTTCTTTACACATTTGCTTATAGCATCGCTGCTAAACAGCAGTCATATAATGCCAGTAGCCAGACTCTTCAACTCATAGCATACAGATGTAAACATGTCGGTCATATCGCTTTAATTACACCGGAGCTTCGCCTCTATTAGCAGTATTACGGTTCAGCGCTTGACCAACACGGAACCCCTTCACCTGTCGCGTGCTAGTGTACTTAAAGGCATGTCTTTTCGTATTATTTCCAAAGAAGCCCTGGTTGGAGCCATAACACTAGGAGTTGTTTTTTTCGCCGGACATTTCTTTGGTAAGAGCGGAGGCGTTCACGACTGATTTGATTTAAGGTTACCTTAGTGTAGTAGCATCGCCGGTAACATGTCAGTGCCGATGTATCTGAATCAGTGTGAAGAACAGACTGTGGATGTGTACAGAAGAGGAAAACCAAGTTATCTGTGATGTAGGGTTTAAATGTAGGTCTGGTGATGTGTGGTCTTGATAGGGGCAAGTGAAATCACTGTCAGCAAATGGGGAAGGAGGTTGGATGTTTTTTAAAGCTTAGTAGTTAGTAATTCCAAGCTAAATATACTACTTTTACAGTACCACATTTATTTGACTGCTTTTGTCACTAATTTACTAAGTAGCTTAAATTTAACATTTAAAAAATGATAAGCTCATAAATACATAGCTTTTAAGAGTAAGCCAGTGGTTTCCAACCATTTTGTCTTGTGATCTTGTATAATAACTCAGCCAGGTGCTAAACTTCGTTTTATCTGTGAAGTTCTACCAAAAAGACATTTCCCCTCTAAAAGTCATTGAAAGTAACAGGTGAGATCTGCACACTGTGAAAAAGAAATCCCAGAGAGGCACGAGAATCTTCTTCAAAATATTTATTGTCATCACTGGAGTGAAATGATAACCACTGGACAAAAAACTGTAAGAGTAGGCTGCTTAAATGTTGATGCACAAATATAAATGTAATACTTATAACAGCCTAGAACAGTTACAGGGGACAGCTTTCTGCAGAATGAGTACTTTTATTTGTAACATTAAGTAAATTTTACAGAATCACAATCAGCTTTATTGGCCAGGTGTGTTGGACACATGAAGAATTTCACTGGTAAAGCGGCTCTCAATGTGTATGTACATGTCCTTATGTAAGGCAGCAATGGGCAAGTAAACAATATAAGGAATGAAGACCATCATAGATTAACTGTTCATCAAAACGACAGCCCGGTGGAGGAAACTCTCCTTGTGCCTGGTTGTCTTGGTGCACAGTGACCTGTAACGCTGTCCAGTGGGGAGGAGTTCAGACAGATTGTGTCTAGAATGTGAGGGGTCTGCAGAAACCTTCTCCACCCTCCTTTTGACCCGTGAGGTGTACAGGTCCTCCATGGAGGGCAGGCGGGCACCGATGGTTCTTTCTGCAGTCCTGACTGTTCACTGGGGTCTGTTCCTGTCCTGTTCCATTGCTGAGCCAAACCAGACAGTGATGGATGAGCAGAGAACAGACTCGATGATTCCTCTGTAGAACTGTATCAGCAGCTCCTGGGGCAGGTCGAACTTCCTGAGCTGGCGCATAGTTTTACTTAAATACAAATTTAAATGCAGCACTTTTACTTTGAATGCAGCTTGGTTTATTGGTCCTTTAACTTAAAGCTCCCGGTACTTCTTCCACCACTGTTTGAATGCATGTCACAGATTAGGGTTTATGGAAACACTGGTGTGACCTAAATCTGAGCCCTGAGCACCTTCTCTTTTTATACATAAGAATGCATTATACACCTGTGCATCATTACATGGATAAAACCACACAATTACATGTAGTTTTTTTACACATGAAGTTTGCATGGTCATGTCAGTCCAATTTTTCTCCTCTAATAGTATAAACTCCACACAGAAAGGCCCGGTCGGCAGTGAGGTTCAAACCAACAACCTTCTTTCTGTGCCGTCATTACAAAGTCCCTTCCACTCACTTTCCCTTCCATCTTCCGTTGACCCTCAAAGTCTTCAAAAATGTGAATATCCAGTGCTATCAGAGTTCCTGAAATGACATGTATAAAAAGATTAGCTTGATTGCTTTTTGTGTGCACTAGTAGAACTGCCAGATATTAGAATGTTAGATTATTATTAGAATTATTGGAAACCACCCAGTGCACATGAACAACAGAAACATGGGGACACAGATGTCACGTGAATGCGTTAGTTTAGACCTGTTCACTGGGTTGGCCTCAAGCTGTCAAGTTAAAAGATTTTACAATTTCTGGTATTAGTTTCTTTACCTGGATCTGTTGCCTTTGGTGCAATAGCTGCATTTCCCCACTGAGATCATTTAAGTTTAATCTAAATTAAATAAAAACTACATTACCTAGACCAGACCTCAATTTCTTGAAAGATGAATAAGCTGGATGGCAGATCCCATGATATCATCATGGCCTTGTAATCATTTCACTGTTCATGTTCACCTTCAGGGAAAAAGAAATCTTCCAGAATGAGCATCTCAAAAAGTCACGGCAAGGGAAAAGACAACCCACTGTTGCAGTACGTCCTCAGATACTCCCTGAGGGAGCACCCAGTTCTGAAAGACCTGAGGCTGGTAAGGGTGTCGTGATATCCAGAATAGTGCTATGCTCTGGCATCATTAAGTGGTCAATGTCATAAAATGTAATCATGTCTCACGGTGCAATTTTTTGCGTAATCTGGTTTTCCACCTGTTGCTTTCAGAGGACGATGGAGCACTCTTACAATGTCATGATGATAGCCTGTGAGCAAGCGCAGTTCATGGCCAATCTGGCAAAGCTAATCAATGCCAAGAAAGCATTGGAGATCGGTAAGAATTGCAAGTTGTACATCATAATCGGTTTCTGAACCATGCACATCTGTCATTGTTGTAATTCCACAGTCCTTTACCTGTTCAGACACTGAGCATGTTTATATGCACACATGAAACCAGGTTACTAACAGAAATTATCAGTAGTACTAGCTGTAATAAGACAGCTTTCCTACACTGAACCTTCTACTACTAGGAGATTTTTTCTAATGTTTTTGTTAATTGTATAATTTGGTGCTGAAAAGAGTTATTTCCTTTTCACTGTTTAAGTTAAAATGACAAACTTTCACTTTCATTATTTTTACTACTAAGTCATATCATTGCAATATATTCCCTGTCTGTGACACCCTTGTAAAGTTGGGAAGTAACATAAATATCTCTACTGCCTGCTCCTTACATTTTCAAATCAGGCTTTGAGGGGAATTAATGATTATTTTTATTTTGCACTTGCTGCAAAATGTGCACACTGGTGCTCTGGATGACATTATTTTTGGCATATTTTTTTATTTTATTTGAAAGAAAATGGGTTAATAGTCTTGGAAATATATTTATATGATTTGAGGTTCAATTGGGTTTGCACATAAACAGCTGGTAGAAACGTCCATCTAAAGGACTACTTTTTACTTTTATACTTTAAGTACATTTCAGAGTCTGTACATTTTTACCCAAGAGCCTAAATCAGTACTTCTATTTTCACCACTTTTTTTTTTTTTTACACAAGTATCTATAACTTCTACTTGAGTGCTTTTGCCGCCCCTGCACACTTGCAACAGTAACCTGGTTACACAAGTGCATGTTAAGCACACAGAAAGTCAGCCTAATCATTGTGTTCTTTCTGTTATTATCCCTTATGTTGGTTTTAGTGCTTTCTCATTGCATTTGCAGGAGTGTACACAGGTTACAACACACTGAATATGGCACTGGCTCTACCTGCTGATGGAGTTGTAGTGGCATGTGATGTCAATGAAGATTACACCAACATCGGCAAACCCTATTGGAAAGAGGTGGGTTACTGTAAATATCATGTTTGCATAATCAGCTTCAAAACAGAATTACATGGATGCAAATACATACAAAAGACAAAATATTGCAAGATATCATTTCCCATCTGGTGTGATACAACTCATCTCCTGCACTTTGACTTCTGTAAATATTCTTGTTTTTTGTTTGTTTACAGGCTGGAGTAGAGCAAAAAATCGACCTGCGCATTCAGCCAGCACTGAAAACTATAGGTACAGTAACTATATCTATTTTCATAACTTACTTTGGGGATTATGATTAATCTATAGTTAATTATACCAAAAATAACAAACACATTTTGATGTGGTCATAACATAAAGACTTTATTGAAATCTTAAAAGCCTTAAAAGCCCAGAGAAATTCAAATTAGACCCAACTTTACCAGCTTCACTATTGAAGTGATGTACACACACACGCCTCATTTAATAGTTAGATAAAATTATGTTTTGAAATGGGACATTTTGTATATTAACTACTATTAATTTTGTCACTTTAAGTGGCCGTTTTGATACTAATACTTTTGCACTTTTACTTAAGTATAGTTTCCGGGCAACTGTGCTAGCGTTATAACTGATAAAACAAATAATGTCTATTACTCCAACAGAGTTTATAAATAATTTCCCTCGTAGTTAGAGATACTGTTGACTTTACTCTCAAATGTGAAAGCTGAAATCAATTTCCTTAATTAGTTACCATCCGGTAGCTAAAACACACGGCTGTGTTTTAGCTAAACCCAATCAACTAAGCTAGCCAGATGCTAACTAAATAACACAGTAACAGACCTGTGGTTTTACCCATCGATGCCTTTAGCTATAACAATACATTCATGATTTACCTGCCTGGTAAATTACCTGACTAAACGTAACTTCATCACACGCCTACATAAGTTTTGGTACCTGGATTTCATGCCTTCGCTTTCGCCTTGGATGCCTGTAAAAGCGTAGCTGTAAATTCTTTCTGATGCAGTTGAATACACAGCCGTGCTTTCGCATTTTAGCAGTTTTGTCCCAGCTGGTCCATGACTTGGATCTATAATACATTCATGATTACACATCGGCGACATAACGTGATGACGTCAGTTCACTAATCACGGGAATTCTTCTTCTTCTGTTATCTAATGGAGGTTGGCAAACAGCCATACCACCACTTCTTCTTCTTCGTCTTCGTCTTCTTCTTCTTCTTCTTCTTCTGTTATCTAATGGCGGTTGGCAAGCAGCCAACTCACTTCTTCTTAATGCCATTATCACTTACAACAACAAATCCTTGTTCTTTGAAAACTGGTTTAAAAATAACATTGCACTTGTAAAACAACTGTTTAATTGTGATGGAGTTCTGTTATCATATGAGAACTTCATAGCTAAGTACAGGTTCCCTGTTTCCCAGCATGAGTTTAATACTGTTATTAATGCACTTCCGTCTGGCATTCTCAGTTTAGCACGCTCCTGCTCAAACACGCACAACTCTATCAATTTAGATATTGCTGTTAATGGCACTTCTATCTTTGATAAAAGATTCAACAACATCTTTATAAGAAACTCCCTCATTCCAAGAACAACAACAGCTGTTAAACATAAATGGCCACACCAGACTCTTGGTGGAAGAACATGGAACACTGTTTTTACTTTGCCCTACAAATTTGTCTTGTCCAACAAAACTAAAGAACTTTTCTTTAAAATCTTACATAAATTTTACCCAGTAAACTCTATTATTTGTAAATACATTCCAAACATAGAAGAAAAATGCTCCTTTTGCAACAATGAGCTAGAAACTTTAGAGCATCTTTTTTTTCAGTGTGCACATGTAACAGTATTTTGGACTGACTTCTGTTGTGATCTCAAAAATTATCTTGGAAAGGAAATTGTACTTAAAGAATATAATATATTTTTAATTTTTGACAAGCCTCATTTCTCTAGCAATGAAAAATTTGTTATTAATCTTTTCATTATTTTGGCCAAATTCTTCATCCATAAAATGAAATTTCTGAAAAAATCACCATCCTTTTCAACCTTTAAACACTCTGATCTCAACAACTACTTCCATTTACTGTTACAATCAAACCACCCCAACAAGAAACGAACCAAAACCATTGACCTGCTTAAACATTTTAATTTTATATCTGAATAGCTTTACCTCCTTGTATTTTCTTTTCTTTGTTCTCACTTATTTGATGTTATTGTTCTTTTTCACCT